AGGCTAGAAACTCTTGTTACTACAGCAACAAAAACGGTTACCGCTCTCCTCTATTTATCTGTATGAATGGGCTTTTATCTATTTTAAAAAAGGCATATAATATTTAAAATGATTACAGGAAAACAAACGACCGGAGATGTAACTTTCCAAGATTCTCGACGTTACTTTAGACAATTGTAGTCTTAATAATATTTACAATAAAATCATTTTCAAATTTATTATCACCTCCTGTAACGACCGGAAGTGACGGTGGATGCATTTTACCCTACATCTGTTGCCCTATATTCCTGGTTAATTATTTATATAAGTTTATTGTCTTGATCTATTACAGTTTTAGATATCTCGTAATGTTAACTTCTCATTTTGAGGACAAGAAATCACGTGACCGAAAGTAATTTTTTAAAAAGATATTTGACATTACTGTAGATATTTGCAATCTGAATAACATATCTAAAAACCATTACAAATACTTTATGTATAAAAAATATTCAAGGGAAAGAAAAAATAAAAAAAATATGCAGTTTTTCCCATATAACCGGAAGTTGTCGTTTTTTGTTTCCAGTGGGACTGACATATTTCGAAACTACAAATTAGATACTATAATGTGATACAATAAAGTGTCATAAAAGAAAACTTGAAATTTTCGATTCATTTGATCACTTCCTGTGACGACCGGAGGCGACGGCGGACAAGCTTAACTCGTTGGGCTTGCCTACTCATCAAGATCTATTACTCATATAAGTTTTTTGTCTTAATATCTTACCGTTTCTGAGATATGAATCAAACAAAACATTTTTAAAAAATGGAAATCGGAAATATCTCCCGACCGGAAGTAAATTTTGAGAAAATGAAAAAAAAACATTATTTTTACAATAGCTCCAAAACTATGTGTGGTATAAAGTCAAAACGTTTACAGTTTATAAATATATCATTGATTAATAGATAGAAAGTATCACTTGATTACAAATATAAAAAAAAAATGGAGGAAAATTGTATCGGAAAACGTGCATATTTTTTAAAAAATGCACCTGCTATATTCTGTCCTTTTTGTGAAAACCATCATCGCAGAAATAATATATGTTTATCATTGAAGGGCAAGTTGGACGTATATGGTCTCTCAAAGGCTGTTATTAAAACCATGACATGTATAAATACAAGACCCTCATAGAATCCGCCATTTGCAATGTACTTTCACTTTCAAGTCTTAAACAACTAAAACAATTTTCCAGAGACTATTCAAGTCCAACTTGTCCTTCATTGATAAACATATTTTGTTTCTGCAATGATGGTTTTCACTAAGAGCACGACATTAATAAGGTGTATTGTTTGAAAATATATATGCATTTTTAAGAAGAATTTTTCTCAATTGATATTTTTTCCAAGATTTTTTTTTTTATCAAGTGATACTTTCTATCTGTTAATCAATGAGAAATTATTGATAAACTGTAATAGTTTTAACTTTATACCTCATGTAGTTTTGGGGCCATTGCAATAAAAAAAATTTTCAACATTTTGACCTTTGACGAAACCTTAATGCAGGCGTTATCGAACGGTCACGCACAACAGAAACCCTTTTTATAATCAGATAAATGAAGCAAATCATTACAATCAACATAAAACCAATGCATGTGTTGTATTTATATATAAGGGCATACGGGCGTGCCCAAACCTAGGTTTTGCGTACAAAGATTGTTGAGTCAGCACTGATATCGAATCAGAAGTCATAAGCCTTTTTCGGTTTAAAAAATTCATTGTACTCAGTACATTTCAATTTCATACCGAAGCCGATGAGAAACATAAAGTAAACATAATATAATAGAATATTACTTTATGGGAAGGGGCCTATGGGAATAAAAAAAACGTTGTGTAGTTCATGAGTAACAATGTGTCCTTTAGATTTTTTGGACCTACTTACATGTAAGCTTATCAAAACTAAGACAATTTATTTAAGCTAAAGGAAGAAGGTCAGATTTTGAATTTTGACCCTATAGTTTATTTCTAAGAAATTTCATCTCTCTTTCTGTTTGTCTGTCTCTTTCACTCTCTTTTTTTTTATTCCATCATATGTTTTAAAAGATAAGATCATTTCAAAAGCTACCTTTGTATCCTATAAAGGTTATATTTTTCCGAAATAATTAAAAAAAATATTTTCAAAATCTTTATTGGTCATGTTATTTAAACAAATAATGCTATATGGTTCAAAACATTTCACTTTAAAAAATCTTTCAATAATCATTATATTGCGAAGCAACATATATTTATTTGTTATGCTTTTCAATATGTCAGAACTATTTATGTTTGTAACAATTTTTTTCTTTTACATTCTCTTAAAAGAAAACACAGGGGAATAAATATGAGCTGAAGACCAAAGGCTACATATATAATTATTGAAAAAAAATCTACGAGCGCGACTTCCGAAATAACATTGTAAGATACAATAAGAGAAACAGAAGTGGCGTTAAACAAAACAAAGTAAAGTATATAGACCACTTTTCTCGACAAAATATGGCAGAATGACCAAGAATGACTGAAAAATATATTTGCAACAACACCAACTAAAAGACTCGATACAAAACTAGGTTTCTGTGTACAGTTTTCATAGATAATGTGGTTTTGTTTGAGTTTTCGAAAACAAAGTAAAGTTAAGATTATAAGAATAACAAGATGACCTATGAAAACATATAAAGCCGGCTTCAACCCAACAATAATGCAAATGTGCCAAACATAATTATTGAATTGAAAATTTGAATACCTCTTTCAAACAACAGAGCAAGTGAATAAGCAATTTTACGCCAAAAAGATACACAATTATTTTTGTGCGATTTTGTAAGAGTTCTTTTGGAATGTTCCAGTCTTGGTCCTCGTCTTTATTAAGGTACTTCGTGGCAAAATATACACTAAGAAGGGAGGACACAAAATTAATGACTAAAGAAATATCCTGTGCGTTGTACAAATCTGTAAAAGAAAAAAAATCAAATTCTGTTATCAGAAATAAAAAAAATCGCCAGATTAAAATATTATAGAGAATAATACATGTGCATTGTGTTTTAATTTAATATTGTCTCTTTAGTATTATCTGGCAGAATTCATAATATCAAAAAGAGCAATACCCGACTACTGTATATGAGAAAAAATTCTTTATCTGAAGTTTATCTTGGATGTGTGCCAGCTTTTACATAATTAATCTTAATGGGACAAATTATCAATGATATTCAAATGCACTTACCGATGTTAAGATCTTTATTTTCATATTTAATAAAATACAATAGAATCGTCTGCGGAATTCCCTCCAGAGCGGCTTCAGTCAACCAAAGGAACGTCAAAGCTTGTAAATACCATCTCGCTCTCCAGCGTTTCCAACCCATTCGAATTGTCCAGAATAATCTAGAAGCAATTGTTAAATATCTTTCAAATAAGGTATCAAAGAAGAAAAAAAACTAAGCACTGTATCTCAGTGTTTCAATCTGACTTTTAAATACAATTAGATATTGGTTTATATTAGCTTTAATAATTGAACTCTTTAAAAAAAAGCAATGCTAAAAACATTATTTGTTAAATATATTCAAGACTTTCTTCCTTCAATATTGAATGAGGAAACGATTAAACACAGGTTATATTTTTTTAATATGTTCAGTATATATTTTGATTTGGTTTTTTATAATTTGCTTTTTTTTGGCTTGAAGGTAGGATTATAAGATAAAAATATAGGTAAAAAGAAAATACTCACATGCAGCTTTTTAGAAATGGAAAACATGCAAGCAGTACAAGCATTAATCGACGGCGTTTATTTGAGGGATCCACATGGTAAAAAAGAGGATAAAGCACCAGAAAATATGACAGAATTATTGGAATAATGGTTAAAGCCAAATATATAAGAGCGGTAACTCTCTGCTCATGCTCCAAATAAAAGTAAACCATGAACGAATCTTGGAAGAAATCAAACATATATATGAAACTGAGAATTGCCGTTGCGATCACTATTATACATTTTCCAATGTTTTTGCAAATTGATTTGCATATAGATGTTTCCAATTCTTTTTCACTAGAAGTGTAGTCCTTCTGTTTAGTAGACACTTTTACGGCATGCAGGTTCGTGTTTGATTTAGTTTCTAGTAAGTTAATGTCGAATTCAAGAAGAGCCTTCAACTTTTCCTTTACGAGGGCACAAAACAGAAGGAAAATGAAGATGAGGATGGTGAATGATCCAAGAGCAACTGCGAAACACGTAATCTGTTCCTGTGAAAACCCGAGGCTTTCTGCAGGGAAATCTGAAAGAATTGTGAAACAGATAATCTAAAAGGTTCAACATTTCCTTCAAAAACGTGAATTTTATATCATAAAGAAGTTTAAAACCTATATTCATGTTGTATATTAAAAAAAAACTCACCTGAACTGTTCATTTCAACCATTTCTACGTTGTGAAGTTGAGGCACTGGAAAATTTTTTTTAAAACAACACACCGCTCAATTGAAGATTACAGCTATAACGACGCAGTATGTTTGAGAGTCAAATTATGTTAAAAGATAAAAGTCGTCAAATTCATTTGAATCTGTTTTAATTATAACAGCTGTCGATGTCTAAATTCCTTTGTTAAGGGAAGAAGAGCACACAAGAGTACACTAAAGCGCACACTGAAGGCCAGTATTTATTCCACAATTTAGTATTCAATCTTAAATAATGATATTTATATACTGGGTATATATATGGAAATTCCAAATGTAATAATAACTTTTTACCTCGTTCTATTTATATTTTCTGAAATACCCGCATGCATGTGTATTTACAGAAAACGATATACATGGACATACAAATGTGTTTATCTACCAGTTGATTGCGATAAAAATAGATTGATTTTTACAAGTTACCTATCTCAACGCTTGAAGGGCGGTTAAAAAAATATAATATTTTATTGTATAGAGAAGTATTGATACATCTTTATATTGCTAGGAGAAACACCTAATACGCAAGTCCATAGGTAGCGACTTAAGTTTGGAAGGGTAATGTCTAAGCAAAACATTTTCATTTGGGGCCACTTTTAACTACCGACAATTCCTTGACATGCAAAGGAGGGTAATCAGATTTTTTTAAATTTATTTTAGGGGCACAAGCATATATATAAAGAAACAAAATAAGTAAGAAACATATATTCAAGTCCTTGTCTACTGACTGTAGGAACAGTCATGAGACAAGAATATCATTATATGTTTATTCTCTCTTTCTTTGTTACAATCTTGAATGCAAATTTGAACAGGGAAAATGATTACTTGATCTATAAATAGATAGGAGAAATCTGAATTACATAATGAATAAAAAATAAAACTTTTAAAAAGTAAAACTGACATACGATTTATTTATAGATCAGATAAAGCGTCATTAATTTCAATCGATTTTCTTAATTTTAAATTAAAAAAGAAAATTATTTGTTTAAATAATTTTCAGAAAATTTTATATGGCTTTGTTAGTTCTGATATTATTAACAATCATAATAACATTTATTTTAAAAATTGCGGATTTCAAGGATTCTGTGTCTGTACAATAAAATACAAAAAGAAAATACAATAACTTTCTGCACAACACCGCTTTTTTGCAATATGTAGACTACGATTGATTGTTATAAACAGAGATCACTAATTTCTTTGTTAGATATCCCTAAAAATATGAACATAAAATGTTGTAAAAAAAGGGTGTAAAATCTAGAGCAAGTTTACACAATCATCATTATTTAAGGAAGGATTCATTGAAATACATAACTTTTTTAAAATTTGCAAAAGGGCATTAAATATTCAACAAAAACAACAAAGTATGTAATTAATCACAAAAGCTCTAAATTGTAAAAAGGAGAGTCACACGCAATATTCAATGCATTATATGAGTTTATAATGTTTAATTACTCTGGCTCAAAGACTGTACTACAGCACAATGCAAGGGGGGCAACATAACATATACTTGCAAAGACAACAGTATTGTAAAAAATAGCTACATGAAAATGGTTACTCTGTAAAAAAACATCTACATATAAAGTCTGGAGATTTAACGTGAATATCATGAACCAAAAATATTAATAGTTTTTGTTTGCATATTTGTTTCTATTATGTTGTATTTGTACACAGTCAGGCACTAAATATTTAATTTGAACATATAATTATAATATATGTATTTCCAATGATGGGTATCAGTTAACAAGACTTACAAAAAGTATTTTAGTTATATATACATTACCGTAGTAAATCAAAGTATTTTAGTACGATTTGCATGTAGATTTATTTTATTTTTTAATTCCTTAAAAATTTTCTGATAATGAAATAACTATTTTTTTCTATATTAGCATACTTTTTTAAAAAAAATTATATCATTGGTATGTTATTTTAGAAACATTAAAATTTTTAATCTTCAAAAAAGCAGCTTTTGGGGTAAAAATTTATAGTAAATCAAAGTATCAAAGTACCTACTATAATCAATTTCTATAGTATATTATAGTTAATTAAAAAACAATTCTGTTAGAAAATATTGATTTTAAAATTTGTCTTGTTCTCGTCTTTCAGACTTGAGTTGGTTTGAAAGATTGACATAAACAAATCAACCTAACTTCTATGCATAAAACAATTTAAATTTCCAGGGGGAAATCATAAAGATTAAAGTTTATTTGATATTTTCACTCATTTTTTCTCTTATCCACATTCGCAGTAAAAATAACAAGGGTTGGCATACAACTGTTACAAAACCAAAAACTATATGGAAATCTCTTTTTTTCCGAGGACAGCATATTAGAAATACCAAGAGCAAGATTTACAGCGTAGAAAAATATGTAATACCAAAAATAAAAGTTTTTTTCGCCCACCGTCATCGAAATAGCCATTCATAGCAAAAGAAAAGGTTGGCAAATGAACCAACTACAATACTTAATAGAGCAAATACTTTAATACTCTTATCATCTGTAGTTATCGTATAGACACAGAAGCCCGAAAAGCAAAAGTATATACATATAGTCTAGTCATTCTACTGAAAAATGAGAACTAATTGCAACAGAATATATTAATGCAGATTTGTAGATAAGTTATTAGTAACTCACATATAAAAAGTTTAGAAAAATTCACTCAGGGGAAAGTTGGGAAATCGAAAGATTAAAATTAGGGATCAATATGAATTTAGAATTACCCATTTGCACACCGTACTTTTTCTATATGATCTTTCTATGACAGACAGTCTGTAAACAATAGCCAATTAGCATTAAAAGTTGTTGTTTTAACCTGTAGTTTGTTATGCAATTTTAAAAAACTAAATAAAAAAATTTATATATTTTGATTTTCAAAGAAGTGAAGTTTTTGATTTGATTTGAACATATTTTTTTATGTAAAATACATAATTGGATTGGGCAGCAGGCATAGCCTATATGAGCCCTCTCCAAAGAAGTTTTGACTTCCACACTAGCCAAATATCATCTACACATATATATAGGCCCTAATGGTTGCAATAAAAGTATGGAACGCTGTTTGTATTCACAATATACATGTATGTGAAATTCCTAAATGTGAATGTGTTTATTTTCATTTTATTTGTTAACACCTGATGGACATTTATACCCCAGTAATTTTGGAATTTATACACAAGAAACAAAAAAATGTATGGAACACAGTTTGTATACAAAATAAGTAAAAACAGCCTTTTCTAAAGAATTCTGCAAGGAAGCTTATCAGACAAGTACATGTACAATGTATATCCGAGTTGTTACAATTGCATCATCACAGAATATATTTTGATTAAATATCTAGAATATATATAGAAATTTATCATTTTGAAATAAAGCGTACAGAATTTATGGAATCACATGAACAGGATTTGATTTGAAGGTCTCCAAGTTAATAAAAATCAAATATTTAATTCCATGCAGGCATCTCCAGAACTTAAATTTGAACTGTGTGATTCAAACATTTTTTTTGCTCTCCAGATTTACTGCTTATTGCTTTTGTAAAGAGTAGCGAACTTTATATAAAAAGCCAATTGATATTGACCTTTTTCTCTATAAAGACTGCACCATGCATCTATACATGTACAAAAGCTGCATAATGTTAATAGTAATGGAAATAATTCAAATGGAATGGTTTAGACAGAATTAAATGCTTAAATGCTCTTTTTTAAAATTCTTAATGTAACTTTTTAACAAAATATTTTAAACCCATTTTTAAAAACTTAACTTCTCCTTGTAGATTATATGGTCATTTTGCAACAGTAAAATGCCTGATGCGGTGTAACGTTGAATTTTGACCTTGGTTGAAAATTGACCCGGGGGTCATTTTTCAACGTTGAATACGGAGACCAAAGGTGTTGAATTTAGACCCTAATCCGTTGAAAACTGAGCCGGGTCGTGGAATTTCGATCATGAAACTGGTTCAAAATTCAACAGCATAAAAATACATATTTATGATTGGGTTTTCACTACTGTGACTTAATTCATAGGTATGCGGCCCCGTTTTGGTATTTACTGCAAAAAGTAATATCCCCTATTTGAATAAGTGATATCATCTGTTCCAATAGATGATATCACCTATTTGATTTTTATTTGTGATATCACCAATTCGAAAAGGTGATATCGCCTATTCGAATGGGTGATATCACCTTTTCCCGTCGAACAGCTGTAGTTTTTTTTTTTTTTTTTTGCTTACAAATTAATTTGTTTCACTTATATATCATGTTAACAACATGAAAATCGTAGAAAACGCCTGAAAACTGGGTAGTCCGAATTTTCTTGGTTCCAGTGGTAATCTATATATTACAGGGAGCATTCATTTTTGACTGTTGTAAGAAACTCAAATAGGTTATATCACCTTTATGAATAGGTGATAGCACTTATTCAAATAGGTGATAGCACTTATTCAAATAGGTGATATCACCTTTTATTCTAAGCTCTCTGACTTTATCACATGATTAAGTATATAACAGCATAAAGACTTGAGTCTTTACTCTCATAGAATCTGAAATGCATATTGTGATCATATGCTATATTGCAGGAGTCCTTTTAGAAAATTTTATTAAAGTGATTGACATCTCCCCTGCCTAGTTTTCTCATAGAACAAGTGTTAAAATGGAGATAATTTTTTGTAAAAACAGAAATACATGTAGTATTGATTTCTCAATTAAAGATAATTCAGAGTATGACTTGATGTTTCTGAAAAAATATATACTTCAACTTGTATTAATATTTTTTAATGTTCTGAATTGATAAGACGTAACAATGCCTTGAAGTCTTGAATTAGGATCTACATGTGCTTTATATTAAAATATATTGGATATCTTTGTCAAAAATTGATACGAGACATAATCAAATAATTAAATTAGCATTCTGAATAATTAAATCCTCTATAATTACTCCATCAATGTATAAAACGAAACACATTTATTTAATATTAAACAGCAACAGCTTAATGTATGCTGATCCCTAGTCTCTAAGTCTTGAAGAGAGAAAACTTGTGCCTTATTCCCAAAATTTTCAAATTTTGTTTTGTCAATCTATGTGATAAAATGATTTATATTCGATAA